CCGATTGGGCGGCCTCTTGGGGCCTTCTTGACTCGTCTTGGGGCCCTCTTGGACCCAAATTATCCCCGAACAAAAAATCATGCAACGCCAGGGGTCCCAGGGGGGCACGCGGGTAGCCCCAAGAGATTTGTGAATGTGGGGTCCGGGCCTCAAAAGGACTTCCAGGACCAAGGACTGAAGCTCCCGGGAATCGGGCAAGGGACCTGAGGACACCCCAACCCATGCCTCAGGAGCACGGTGCCGGATTTCTTTGCTGGGGCTGCGGAGCGATATCACTCGGCGGCCCCCGCCCCTGAGGGAGTGAATGTTCAAATGTACACACTGCTCATTTTTTAGTATTCGAAAGATCTTTGATTTTTTGGGGGGCGCGATCCTTTCATTTCTCATTGTTCTATCTTGGGCCTCTTCTTGGCCAATAGGGAGCCAGGAACAATTAGAAACGAGCGAGTGCAATTAGATATGAGCACGATTAGAAATGAACGACGTGTATGTGCTACCGAGAACGCCAGGGGGCTGAACATCCCAGAAGCTATCGCCAGGCGAGCTGCCCTGCTCAAGGATGCGTTGCAGCACGAAGTCACAGTCTGGGAGCCTCTTGCAGGCATCTTGGGGCTCTATTTCGGATGTTGCTGGAAGTACCCCTGGCCCAAGGTACCCCCAGGATTCTCGGGGTGGCCCAGACGGCCTCCAGGGCACCCCTCACGAGGCCCAGGGGGGCCCAGGGGCTCCAGGATAGTGCGAAAGGCTGGGGGCACCTTGGGCCAGGGGCACTTCTAGCAACACCCGACCATTGGAGCCCTGTTTGAGGCTCCGCCCGTGCCCCCTCGGCTTCAAAGGCGCGTACAATTACAGCCGAAGTTGGTTGTTAGGAAAGGGTCGAGGGCCACGCCAGGAGGGGGATGTGCTTCGTGGGAGGAAGTTTTGTGTTTTCGAGGCTCGAGGTTTCCGGGCGTTTTCGTCGGTTCTCGGCGGTCTTCCTGCCTCGGGATGCTCTCCAGCAGTTGCGGCTCGCCAAGGGCGTTCTGGGGGTGTCCGGATCGTCGCGAACGGCCGCAGGAGAGCCAAGTTATGTCACGAAAGCCGGGGGACAGCGTTAGGGGGGATCTGCCGAGGGGGGATGCATCGGTCCCCACTCGCCTATTTATCGCCAATGGGGGGCCCGATAGCCCGTCCCGCCCAGGAACCTTTGGTTTTGCCGTCGGGGGCCTGTCGCCGATCTATCGGCACTGTATCGCCGATTCCAGGTCGTCGTTTTCCCCTCTTAACCAGTCCCCCCCTGACGTTGTCCCGCCCCTCTGAGCCAGTCCCTTCCTATCGTTGCCCCTCAGATGAGTTTTGAAGCAAGACGCCCATGCACCCTCCGATCCCAAACCCCCCCGCGCCGTGAAAATATCACGAGACGGAAGTTGTTGGACGTTTTCGGCCTCTGGGGGCCCTCGCAGGGCCCGAGGACAGTGAAGACCGATTCGGGGTAAACAAATCCAAGTGCTGGGGAGGGGGTCCAGACTTCTATGGGGCCACCTTGCGAAAAACACGACGCCTGGGGCCTGGGATTCTGGGTATCGTTCGCATGCCTTTTGCTTCCTCGGTGCCACGGTGCCCTGAAATCTTGGCGCGTTCTAGGTGCCTTGCACCCCTAAGCCCCATGCTCATGTCTGGTGTTGGCTGTCCAGTTAAAGCCCAGATCCCCGAGTGAGCAGGGCAGGGCGTGATCAGGGATGACTGAGTACAGTCGGACCGAGGTATAAGATCGAGGTGGGTTCAAGGAGGGTACCCGAATGTTCTCCGTTTTGGTTTGGCATGATTGTGCATCCTGCGGAGGATGCCCTTGGATGGTCTGTGTGCTTTGGCCGGCGGAGGGTCTCGTGTTCTTGAGGGATGTTCTTCTGGGCTTGGTCTGATTGTACTTGTCCCCGCCTCCCGTTCGTGCACCAGCTGTTTCACAGATGGCACGTTTTCCCCCAGTTGGCCCAGATCAGTTGTTGTCGAAGTTGCATCTTGTCCAGCATTCCCTTGAGACCTGAGTTTGTTTGTGCTCTCGTTTATCGGGTTCTCCTGGACCGCGCGTCGAGGGCGCCAAATGGGGCCTTGCCTTGCCAGCCTGCACGGACCAGGCGTACCCCGGATTCTTCGGTTGCCTTCAGAGCCAGCCAGGGGGCTCGAGGATCGCAGGTTTTCTGTCTTTTTCCAGAGGCGATCTGAAGATTCTGGAGGTTTTCGAGGCGGCTTGCGTTCCACCAGTTGCGTCTCAGCGGCTCCGTTGGCGCGTATGCAGCCAAAGCCAATGATGTGGGATGGCAGATAGGAGATGCCCAGGGGGCTTGTCACGCAGCAGAGCCTTGGGCGATGAGCATTTTTTGTTGAGTTCCAGGCCTGCTCGTGGTCGGCGTCGTCGCGCCCCTCCCACCTAGTGGGAGGCCCCTCCCAGCTAGTGGGAGAGTGACCTTCGCCTAAGCAACCTTTGCGGGCTCACGAGGGAGGCAAGAGGAGAGCGTTCCACGGATGCCTGGACAGTCCCGAGGCGTCACTGGAGGCCCGAGTCTTGGGCCGAATACCACCGGACCACCCAGACCCCTCAACGCAGGCCCTCCAGGACACACCCAGCGCAGACACCCGACGTCGCAATGCTTTCTCCCCGCCGCTCCCCAGCCAGACCATTTTGGGGTACTGTTGGGGTATTTTTGGTTTTTCCTCCAAAGCCCCCCTTGTAGGAGGGCAGGCCCGTCGTAACAGTAGATCCCCGAGAGAGCTGCCGACACCTGGTCTGCCTCCCCCTCCCCCCAGGGCCCGCGGAGGCCCGTGCACCACGTGGTGCCGCTCTCCTGCCCAGGGCCACCCGTCGCGCTTCAGCCTCGTGATTTTTGTTGACCAGTTTTGGAACTGTTTGGGGCCATTTTTTTTGGAGTGTTTTGGGTTTTCGCCTAAACTTCGCCTGTAGGGGGACAGGCCCGACCTAAGGCAAGATCGAGGTCGGGTCGGGGAGGGGGGAGGGTATACCCCAATGTGTTCTTCGTGCTTGCGAATGTTCTTTGTGCACCCAGGGGGAGGGCATGCCTTCGAGTGCTCCTCAGTTTGACCGGCGGAGCGTCTCGTGTTCTGGGAGGGTGCTCTTCTGTCCCAGGGTCTGGCCGTATCCTATGACTTGCTCGTCTCCTGTGGTCAGATCTCGAGTCTCTCGTGGATTCGATGCGGTGTTTCGTGCTTTGGGGCTCGGACGCGTGGGGACATCAGACGGGGCTAGGACGAGGATGAATCTGTTCCAGAGCGTTCCAGAACGGTCTGAGAGTGTTCCGGAACGCTCTGAGAAGGCCGCGGCGCCCGAGACATCCTCCAGAGCCGCCCTTATCTTAGAGATTCTCGATTTATCATCACCCGGATGTAGCCTCGTCCTGGCCTCGTCTTAGGACAGGTCTTGTGGTTTGGATGCTCGTGTCGACGATCGCCGGCGCGTCGTCAGCAGTGGCCGCTCGGCATTGGAGCGGAGGGGTTCTGGATGGCGGCTTGCCGCTCCTCGGCTCTGGCCACCCGAGTCGTTTCAGACGGTCCCGGGGCTGGCTTGGAGGCCATCCTTGGAGCTGTAAGAAGGGGCAACGATAGGGGGGGGGATAGCCATAGGTCAGAGGATGGAAAAGGTAACCATACCGCTACCATCGCCTCGTTTTCCCCTGTTTGGGCCTCCTGGGGGGCCCTCGTCGCCACCGCTGGATTCGCCTCGAAGTCCTGGTCAGAGCGCACTCCGGGAGAGGTCCTGGGAGTAGCGGTATCGGTACGTTTTGGTTTCCACAAGTAGGGGAAATGCATCCACCCCAAACTGTCCGTTATTCATCGCCGATTGCAGCCTGGAAGCGCACCCCGCCCAGGAGCGTGGGGATTTACGATCTGGGGCCTGTCGCTGATTTATCGGCGATGTATCGCCGATTCCTGGTCGACGTTTCCCCCTCCTACGGCAGTGCCTCCTAGCGCTGCCCTCCATGTAAGAGACGGGGGTCAATGCAAACGGGGGCCAGCCAGAGCGCCGGATCTTACAGGATCCTGCAAAGTCAGAGGTCGCATTGACTGCGTTGACCCAGGCCATCGTGTAGGATCCCGCAGGAGCCTGCAGGATCTTGCAGGATCTTGCAAGGCCTGACTGACCCGTGGCTTGCATGGACCCAGGTCCGTAGAATACTCCGGCATCTTGGCTGCGTTGGAAGCTGCTGGGGAGGCGTCGGGCCGATGACTCGCGAGTGGCGTGCATGATCCCGCAGCAGCTTGCGGGATCTTGCCGGATCCTGCAGCCCGTGACTGCCCGGGGTGTGCGTTGGCCGAGGTCCGTAGTTCCCGGCACCTTAGATGCTCCGGGAGCTGCCGGGGAGAGGCGTCGGTCCGACTACAGGCAGTCAGTCTTCTTGTTGAGCGCATGCGCGGTCCTCCTGTGTCTCCTCCTCCTCCTCGACGCCTCCGTCTTCGTCCTCGGCCTTTTCCTTCTCCTTCCTTTCCCTCCTGGTCCTCGTCCTCCTCCTCCCCTTCCTCTCTCCCTCATCCTCCTCTCCCTCCTGCTGCTCGCCCTTGAGAGCCGACGATGCAATAGGAATTGCAACATAGTGGAAAATCACGACTGGAGCCCTGGGCTCCAGACCCCATCTTTTTGCTGCATGTTTCGAGCCGAGGGTCTAGAGGCCCAGAACCCGACGACAACGCCCAGAGCTCAGGGGCGATGGCGCCGGCGTCAAGAAGTGGCGAAGCGTCCCGACCAGCCTGTAGGCCCTCCAAAGAATGTTCTAAGAAGGTTCTTCGAGCAGTTCAGGCTGAGACAGTCTTGTTTGAACGCGCTGGCTGTATGTTATAGCATAATGGCGTTCGTTACTATAACATAATGAAGTTCGATATCATGAAGTTTTTCCCTACGAACATTGCGTGGTAGGCCCGTAAGAATGCCGGGACGGTCGGTTCCTGCTCATCTGCGTTCTCGTCGTTGCGGCCAGCGGCAGCGGCCGACCGCCACCGGCCCCCAGCTGGAGGTGTGCCGCTGCTCCTGGGAGCCCCGCGCGCGGCGAGGCGAAAGGCGGCTGTGCGCCCGAAGCACCGAGGATGCCGCCGTCGCCCGCCGCCAACGACATCACCGACGACGCTGGCTACGACGACGCCGATAGCAACGCCGACGACGCCGACGCCGACGATGACGACGACGACGACGACGACGACGACGACGACGACGACGACGACGACGACCACGACGACGACGACGACTACGACGACCACGACCACGACGGCGACGACGGCGACGACGGCGCCGACGACGCCGACGCCGACGGCCGCCAGTTTGGATTCGGGGCAGGGCGTTAGTTCAAAGAGTGAGAAGAATCGGCATCTACCGAAAAACTTTCGGAGGCCCGCGCAGATGTCTTGTGTCGGCGCCGACCCTGGCTCCCTCCGCGCGCCAGGGAAGGGAGTCCAGCACGGGCGAAGTATGCGCGCGCACAGAAAAGAGGTCAATGCAATGATCTTGAGGCCATCTCGGTGCCCTCAGTGTGGGATCGTTCTGGCCCCCATGGGTCCGCCCAGAGGCCATGGGCCATTGAAGAAGAAGAAGAAGAAGAAGCGCAAAGAGTTTTGTCCGTGTCTCGGGTCGGACGAGCCGCGGGGTGGGGGAAGGGGTGCAACATCTGCATGCAGCCGGATCCAGCCCCGCAGGCGTGCGATCTTCTCAGTACATTGGCGCCTCCAGCGCCGGGAGGCGCTGGGAAAATCAGCTGCGTGAGCCCATTCCGTCACCCCCTTTTCACCACCCCCCCCTCTCGTCCGCCCCGAGGTTCTCTCCTTGGCCCCCCTGGGACGGTCTCGGCGGGGCCCTGGAGTCCCTCCCCGGGACCTCTGGCGCTTCCAAGTCTTCTTGCTTCACAGCGTGGGCCCAGCCAGGGAGCCCTCGACAGCATCCTCTTCACCACTGCAGCTTTGTGGTTCGGGCCCCCCTGCCCCAGAAACCCGAGGAGTACTGGGTTTGGATAAAAATCTGACCCCTAGAGAGAGGCTCGACATGTATCCATACCCAGTGCGCCTCGGCCTTGCGGCGCCCCTTCCAAGAAAGTCCAAGACGCACTGGATAAGGATACCTATACGACCACCATTCGGGTGATAAGGAGGTTGGGGGCGGAGAGGGGGGGGGTAACCAACATCTGCCTCCATCGATCTCACTATCGATATCACTCAACGGGACACCACGGGACACTTGTCGATCTCACTAACGATCTCACTATCGATCTCACTCAACCGGGACACCATGGGCCACCACGGGACACCACGGGACACCGCGGGACTCCTCTCGATCTCACTATCGGTTTCACTATCGATCTCACTATCGATCTCACTCAACGGGACACCATAGGACACCACGGGACACCGCGGGACACCTCGGGACACCACATCAATCTCACTATCGATCTCACTATCGATCTCACTCAACGGGACACCACGGGACACCCCGGGCCGCCATGGGACACCGCGGGACACCGCGAGCCACCGCCGGACGGGCGGGCGGGGGAGAATCATTTGTCTTGACTTCGCCCTAGCAGCGGCGGACACCACGGGACACCACGGGACACCGCGGGACACCGCGAGCCACCGCCGGACGGGCGGGCGGGTGGGGGAGAATCATTTGTCTCGACTTCGCCCTAGCAACGGCGGGTTCATTCCTCGCGCGCGCCCACGCAGCTTCGCCCCGCCCGCACGCACGACACGAACGAAACGAAACGATTTCCCGGTTGGGGGACTCCGTTCCATTGCGATATCACCCCCCAACCTCCGATAGACGTTGCCCGCATTCGAACGCATATTCTTCCGCGTCGTGACACATCACGTCAGTGTTTGGCTTGGGGTTGCTTTCGGCCTCCTGGGGCCCCTACCGGGCAGCGATCTCGCCGCCGCCGCCGTCCTCGGCGCCGTCACCGCTGCCGTCATTGCCGTCGTCGCCGTGGCCGTCGCCACTGTGTTCCTCGACGCCCTCGCCGTCGGTGTGGCCGTCGTCGTCGTCGCCGCCGCCGTTGCAGTCGCCGCCGTCGTCGCCGTCTCCGCCGTCGTCGCCGCTGTCGTGCTTATCGCCGCCGTCGCCGCCGCCGTCGCCCTCGCCGCCGCCGTCGCGGTCCCATGCAGCGGGCAGGAGCACGACGAGCTACGCCTGCTGCGCGCGCTCGGCGAGCAGTTCCTTGCGGGCCTCCCGCTGGCCGCCGCGGCGCCGGAGCCGCCCGCGGTGCGTGCCTGCTGCGGGGCCGCTGAGGCGTACGGCCGCGGCCGCCGCCCCCGCCGCCGCGGCCGTCGCCGCCGCTGCGGCCGTCGCGGTCGTCGTCGGCCTCTTCTTCGTCGCTGCCGCCGCGGCTGTCGCGGCTGCGGCCCCCGCCGCCGCCGCCGTCGTTGCAGTCGCGGGTGCCGCCGCTTCTGCTGCTGGCCGTCATTGCCGCGGCCGCCGCTGCAGCGGCCGTCGTCGTCGTCGTCGTCGTCGTCGTCGTCGTCGTCGTCGTCGGGGCCGTCGAGGCGCACGTCGGTCGATCGACCTCAGATCTGCAACGTCCTGAACAGAACGGAGCGGCGTTTTGGTAGTTTTCGCCCTCTCTGGGCCTCTGGAGTCGCAACGGCTGGATCTTCCTCGAAGCTCTTGCCAGAGCGCATTCCAGCAGAGATCCAGAGGCCAGTCTTCGGCCACCGAGCCTAGAGCTCTCGGAGAAGACGAAGAGAGTGGATAGCCCAGGGGGGGGCGTTACACTTTTCGGGGCTCGGCGATAGCAAGATTGTCTCGGGCGCTGGAGTGGGGGGGGAGGACTTGAACAGGCGCGCGGCGCAAGTCTTAGATTACTGCCGAGACGCCGCACCGAATGTCGTGGTAGCATCGGTTCTAACCAGATGCATCGGCGCGCGGCGCGAGCCCGATTCCACGGCCGACGTCTACCCCCAGACCAGAATGTCAGTAGCGGGAAAGAGGTTTGGGCACGCACTGCGGCGCGGGGTGGCGATTCGCGCGGAAGATTGCGGCGTCGGGTGATTGTGGCCGGGGGCAGCAAAGCCTCGCGGCAGTCTCCCTCTTATACAATGCAAGAGAAATCGCGGGAGCATCGCAATCGCAGGGCACGTCGTCAGCCGGCCACGAGGGCACTCTTGCTTCCCCCAGAACACACAACGGATACATGTAGCGGAAACTAAATACATGCAACCCCGGCTGAGTACATGTAACCAAAAACGCAAATTACGGAACATCGACATATGTAACCGAAATTGAATACATGAATTCGTCCGCGTTGCACCCACGGCGTTCTTACCAGCCTGGCGCCCCGCCTCACGCGCGGCCCGCCTGGACCAGGTGCCCCCGCGGCCACTCGGGCATCGCCTTTCCACAAGCATAGCATCATTGGGAAGAAGCCGTTCTGCCCCGCCGCCCCCAGCTGCGATCTCTTGGCGCAGCGCTAACCGCAGATCGCGACACTGCCCTCGCCGTAATGGACGCCCCCATCTCCGTGCCGCACCTGACACCGCGACCAATGACAACGGGCGTCACGAATGATATCGCGCGCGCCAATCCTGTTCAAATCCCCAGCTCCCGCACTACGGCGCCCGAAACAGTGTTGCCATTGCCAGGCCCCGAAACATATAACGCCCGCCCCTGGGTTATCCACACTCATCGTTTCCTCCGGAGCTCCAGCATCTTGAAAAAAGCAAAATATCGAAAAAGGTTGCTGTTCTCTGTCCGGCGTCGGGGGGCCCGTCTTTGGGACTCAGGGCGATCAGAAAATTTCCCAGGAAGAAAAATGCGTCCCCTGGGGAATGGTTCCTCCGGGTCTGAGTTGCCCTGACCAAACACGTCCAACCAGTTTCCATCATCTTGTTGTGCATGCCGCGAGGGGTTTTGAGTCCGCGGGAGTCTTGCCGGGAAAGCCCTGCAGAAGCACCAGGAAGTTGGATGCTTATGACGCGGGTTGCCAGCGCTTGGCCCTCGAGCGTCCTCCACGATCCTCCTCCTCCTCCTCCTCGTCCTCTTCCTCCTCTTCATTTCTCGATCTTCCATCGTCCTTCTCGGATCTCGATGCTTCGCTGGACGTCCGCATGTGTATCCCGCGCGTGGCCTCCAGGTGCTCCACGCGTGAATCTCTCGTTGCATCCCTTGCGCTGTTTTCAATGCGGTCTGTTCCCAGGGCCGGCAGCTCTGTGTGTGTGCTTTCAGCTTGCTTCGGGTGCTGCCAGAGGCTTCCCTGGCCCAAGGTGTCCATGTCCAAGAAGACCGTTACGAGGCACAGGGCCCCTGGGAGCTGGGCCTGTCGCCAATCCACCGGCGATGTACCAGTATCGCCGAATCCAGGTCGATGTTTGCATCCCTGAGCCGGTCCCACCCTAGCGTTGCCCTCCACACAGGTGGCCGTCTCGCTGGCCGGGAGCGAAACAAATGCGGCAGGCGTGCGGGAGACATCGGCCCCGCACGTTCCTGGGCGAGGGGGGAGGGGCGCTGGTCCGTCTGTGGGGGGGGAGGCACCAAGAAGTCTAAAGGTCAGGAACAAAAAAAGGACGTTCACGTACATGAAGCCACGTTGGTTTCCAAAGTACGCTTTGCCTGAACGCTCGTGAAACGAAACTGGTCTCGCGGACTGGGGGGCCGTATTGCTAAGGCCTAGACGACGACGACGAATACGAGGAGGAGGAGGAGGAGGAGGAGGAGGAGGAGGAGGAGGAGGAAAGGGAGGGGGATTAAGGTGGAAGGGAGCTAGGCTCCCTAGACAAGGCTTGGGGGCGTCCGCCGCTATAACGCAGGGTCCATGCCGATCCGCTCGATGCGACTCGATGTCGATCTCGGCCAGCCCGCTCCGGTCCGATTCCGACATACCGACGATCCGGTGCGGCCCGATGCCTGCATGGCGCTGCTGGCCATCGCCCAGCCGCTCCGATCCGATCCCGACCCCGTGCCGATGCAGCTCGGCCCAGCGTGCCTTCCGCTTCGATCCGACTTCCCGACCCGCTGCCGACCGATCCTGCCCTCGCGCTCCCCTCACGTGCCGGCCCCTCTCGCCACGGCCAGCCTGCGCCGCGCCGCCCCGGTCGAGGTGCACTTCGTGCTCGACGCCGGCGGCGGTCCGCGCTCCACCGTCCTGGGCTACGTGGCCGTGGTGAGGCCTCTCGGGCGGGCACGGGCGGACCCGAGGTTCGGCCCGAGCACGGGCTGGCGGCGATATAGAGCCGACGACGGCCGCGGCGGCCATGGCGGTGGCGGCGGGGCGGCGGGGAGCGCTGACCCCCCGGAGTGTCAGGCTCGCTGATGACGTGAGCAAGCACCCCTCCGTCAGGCCTCCAACGGACTCGCAATGTGTTGTCGCAAGAATTCTCGGCGTTATGGCGGCTTCTGAGGCCCGTTATTGGTCCTGGGACCATAAAAAAACGACTTGGGACCATCGAGGATGAAAAAAAAATGCCCTCGGGGAAGGAGGAGGAGGAGGAGGAGGAAGAGGAGGACGACGAGGAGGAGGTGGAGGAGGAGGGAAGGCAGCCGAGCAGCCCGACAGCCCTTCCGCTGCTATTCCTCATGCAAAATGGCAGGTCCTACGAGCACGGCGTGGTCCCGAACGTGCCTGGGCTCTCCGAGAGGCTGGGCCGGCGCGGCAGCGGCGGCGTCGTCGCAGCGGTGTTGTCCTTTTCCCCCCTCCCTCCGCCGCCGTCGTCGCCCGTGCTACCCTCCGGTCGCCGCTCCGCCTGAAGGGGTCCCCTGCGTGTCCCGCGTCCTGCCGCCCGCCAGCCGCGACGGCGGCAGCGACGAAGAAGTCGGCGCAGACGGCGACTAGGAGGAAGTCGACGACGACGACGACGACGACGACGACGACGACGACGACGACGACGACAACGACGAAGCCGACGAAGTCGACGACGACGACGGTGGCAACGGGGAGGAAGGCGACGACGGCGGCGACGAGCAGGAAACCGACGGCGGCGGCGGCGGCGACGAGGAGGAAGTCGACGGTGGCGGCAGCGACGGCGACGTAGGCGGCACGCCGGGAGGAAGTCACCATGACGATGAAGGGGGCCCGGAAGAAGAGGGAACCTCTGGTCTTGCACCGTTCCTGGCCTCTCTCGAGCCACTCGCGCCCTCCCACTGAGTGCGCGCCGTCCCCCAGGAGGGGCGAGAAGTCATAATGATACCATCCCCTCTTCTTCCACTCCTCCCCCTCGCCCCTCCCCCTCCTTATCCTCCTCTCCCTCCTCCTCCCTCCACTGCCTCCTCCCCCTCCAAGAGGCCCGACTGCTTGCTGACGGCGCCAGCCCCCCTATGCGAGCTTTTCAAGTGTTCAAGTCTTCCTGCTCCTCCGCGCGGGCTCCGGGAAAAGAGGGCCGCCGAATACTCCAGGACTCCGGGGACGCATCCTGAGCTATTCTTTCTCGTTGGAAATCCCAATGGGTGCCCCCATCCCGCATGGAAGACCCTGCACCTGTTAGGAAGGCACTCGAATCCTTCTCGTGTTGTTGCTCCTCATTGTCCTTCTAAGCCTCAGTTTTCACACCAGGCGTCGCCACCGCCTGTGCATTGCCAACTCCCATCAGCTCCATTCGACTGCCCAACGTCTTGGGCGCGACCCTGATTGTTTAGCCTCGGCCTCCACTCAACATCTTGACCGTCCGACCGGGGTGGGCCTGCGAAATGCCCGAGACCATATATGGGGTGTTCTTGAGCAGGAAGTGGCGTCCAAGTCCAGCCAGAAACTCATCAGGTCCTTCTCCTTCGTCCAGCACGGGCCCATCGTCAACGTCCCTTGAGACGATCGTGCGAGTGTCTTCGCTCACGCACACGCTTGACTCTGACACGAGCCTTCTCCTGCCGATCTCGTTCACGTTGATGTCGCTATAATGCGCGTCGAAGTCCACCATGGCCTTGTTGAGCCCATGGATCGTGTGCACTGCATGAGCCACACCACGCCAACCTTCTGTACTCAGCTGGGCACTCGAGGAACACCCTCTCTCGGATCGGTGTGTCGGTGTGTAAAAACGCCCTCGAGATGTCAAAGAACTGCGCCTTCCAGCCCTTGATCGTCGCCAGCTGTAGGAGCACCCTCAGGGTGGACGTTCCAGGAGTTGGGGTGTAGAGCAGGTCCGTCGGCTTCTTGGTCATGTTGAGGTGCCTCGCACAGATCCTCGACTTCACCCCCTCCGCTCGCGCCTCGTCGACCCGCGTCACCGAAAGACATGGGCTTTCTAACTCCGTGAACTTGGCTGCCTTCATCTCAACCTCTGTGAAGACTCGATTCGTGGTCACTCGCTTGTTCATCTGCTCGTCGTCCTCCCCCTCATACTGCTGCAGCCCCTCGGTCATGTTAATCGTCACTTCGACGTCCGTCTGCTTGACTTTCTTCGGAGTGGGTCATTCCTCAGACTCGTCGGGTGGACGCTAAGGACTACTCGGCGCCGCCTTCGGTACCTGATTGCCGTGAAGCTTCAAGGTTTCCGATGCCACAGCCGATGACGATGCAGATGGTGATGATGCTGCTGTTGCTGCTGCTGCTGATGATGATGATGATGATGATGATGATGATGATGCTTGTGATGATGGTGATGATACCGCTCCATCGCTGCTCGAAGCTTCCGCCGATGACCATGCCTCGACCGCTGCTCTGGATCTTGGGAGAGAGGATCCCCTTCATTCCTCCTTTGTCAGTGTCGCCGTCGCTCTCGGGAGCCCCGTGCCGAGGAGTCTGCGACGCTGCCGATGCCGCTCTCGCTGCTGGTGCCGAAGCTGCCCCAGTTGGAACGCTATGACGGCCTGCTGCCTTAGCTGCTTCCGCACGCCGTGCTACTGGTAGAGCCACCGTCGGACCGTCCAGCAACCTCCTCTTGAACCCCGCCTTCCGCTGCAAGCAAGCCGTCGTGTATGCCTTGGGCCGACCAGCCCTCCGCGCTTTGGCCCTGTCGTTCTCGCGTGCTTTGCAGCCCCGAGTCGGCGTCCATCCTGCAATACCTCGCACCTCCTTCAAGTCGTGCTGGGACCACATCCGGAAGACGATCGCGTCGAATGTCTCCCTATCCCATCTGCAGCTTCTCAGGGAGCTTCTTGACCGTTCGCGCCCTGATGATCCACGTCGCCGTGTCTGCGATGTGCACGTGGGCACATGTAGACCTGCCGAGCCACATGCCCGAGTCCCACGACGGCCTTAGGCCGTCGTCGGCCACTCCCGGCTTCTTGACCGGCACATTCTCACCGAAATCGAGCAATTTCAAGTTGAGCCTGGCCATCTTGAGGTCATCAAGGGCCGTTCTCCCAGTACCCTTGTACCTACTTGAAGCGGATCTTGTTGAACGCCACGTGCCTGAATATCCAGGCGAGGATAGCCGAATCTCATGTTAATTGGACTTCGCATCTCTTTGCCAGGTTGTACTTCATCGTCTTCACGAGCCCCTCGCTAATCTTGACCGGTGTCCCTGCCAGACCGCTGCTAGCATGAGATTGCGGCGCCGATTGGCGCAGGGTGATCTGCATGAGCAGGTCCTTGGCCTCCCTGCTTCGCGAGCGCGATGATCGAAGGCTCCCCGTCGCTCTGCAGGGTGACCCTCGGGTAGCCCATCTCGTCCAGGTAGGGGGCTCAGCAACGCAATCGCATGCGTGGGAGGTCCTTTTGATGCCACCTGCCTGGACGTGTACGACGATGCGCTGTCCTGCACTAAGCCGTGGCCGTCTCCGAACCCTTTTCGTCGATGCCCCTTAAGCAGTAGTCCATGCCGAGAACTGGATACGGGGGACATTCGTTATCGCGCCGCCGTGGATGCGCGTCTTCCTCTCCGCGCCCGCACACAGCTGTTACACCACAGCGCGTTGGGCAGATGCGCGAGCATGTCTGCTCCTCCACGCTGGGCAGCCCAGGATCCCGAAAAGCCACAGCCTTAGCAGCCTCCTCGAAGCCCTTCACTGCCCCGCCACTCTCGATCACGCCTCCTGGGGGAATGACCCCCTCTTCAGACGCCTCCGTCACAGGTGCCACGATGTCCTTCCTGCTTTGCTTCGATCTCGACGTCGCTTGATTCGTGCCCAGGCGTGTGCTGACCCGATTTAGTGCGTCCCTGACCCGCTCCCATATGCATGATTCCGCCCCGCCCACTCATCCCCGGCTCTCCTGCATTCTAGCCGCGCACGGCGTATTTGCAGAATCGGTTGGCGTGCCGCTGCTCCCGCAAAGCGGAGAGTGAAGGCTGGCATCGTCTCTTTTCGCCCATGAGTTCCAGCGCGCAGCCTGAATGACTGACTGGGCCCTTCATGCCCGTAAGAAAGTACCCCTTGCCTTTTCCAGCTGAACTTCGCGACGAGGCCGTCTTTCGACATTCAGCTCGCATCGCCCATCTGAGACATGTAGCCGCACCTCGTAAGATCGCCAACCGAAATCAGCGGCATCTTCACGTCCGCGATGATCAAGTGGACGACAACAACAAGCAATCTTCTGCACGCAGCATGGACCCATGCGGCCTCTTGCCAGTCGCCGGAAACGGCTCTGGCGACGCTCCGAGATCAGTCATCTGCACGCGTTCTGCGGTTCCTTTCGGGGCCTCGAGCGCGCAGGCCCCGCCGTTGAACATCGACTCCTCGTCGCCCGAGATTGCCAAGATGTTCCCTTGGTTTACCATGGAGATCCATCGGCCACCGCGCTGCCCTGCAATCTCCGCGTGCCCGTCTTGAGCTGGACTTGCTAGAGCATCGTTGCCAGCTGCGCCTTTTTTCCGCTGACGTCGTTCGCGTATGATGGAGTATGTTAGCAATATCTGGCATATTGACCTCGTCGCCCACATCTGTGACATTCGACGTTGTCCCTGCACTTGCCGCGGTTCGTCGGCCCTTTGCCGTCACCTTTGCTTTTGCCAGTTTTGCCTCTTGAGTCGCCTCTGCTCGTGCCCTTGCCCTTCTTGATATCCGCACCTCTGCCATTTGATCTCCTGCCATTGCAGCCACTGCCATCCTTGATCCACCTGGCATCCATTGGAGCAGGCCCACCCGTAGAAGATGATCTATGCAGCTCGACGCAGGCCTTCAGCATGGCCTGCTCCCCAGACGTTGCCCGAAGGCTTCTCGGCGCGCTTTTTTCACGCGGGTCTGAATGCGGCCCTCAAGCTTGACATTGGTCTTCGCTTATACATATAACGGCGCACCGGGTCCGGGGGCCCGGGGCCGGGACCCCGACCACAAATGTGGGCCCCGGGGGGCCCGGAGGCTCGTCGGACCGCCGGACGCCGTCCAAGATCGTTCGCAGGCGGCTTCGGAACGCGCTCCGATGGCTCCAGATGCCTTCCAAGACGCCTGTCATGACACCAAGAAGGTCCCAGAAGCCTCCAAGACGCTCCGAGAGGCAGCCCAAGAGAGGCCCAAGAAGCAAAAATCGTGCCATTCCTATGGGAAAACGTATATTTTTCGCATGTTCGCCTCTTGGGCTTTCACCGCGTCCAAGACGGCCCAAGAGGCGCCCAAGACGGTCTACGAGGCCTCCGGGAGCGCTCCAAGGCTGCGCACGAGTGGCCCAGGACGGCCCCAAGACGGCCGAAGAGAGCCCCAAGACGAGTTCGAGAGGGGTCCCAGACGGAGAAAGCCAACCTCGAATTCCGAGCTTCCGGCCCAAGAGGCT